GTCTCTCCTCATAAGGCATGGTTTCCAGACTCTTCACCATTTTGGTTGTCCTCCTCTGGACATGCTGCAGCTTGCCAACATCTTTTTTGAATTGCGGTGCCCAGAACTGGACACAGTATTATTCCAAGTGAAGTCTGACCAAAGCAGAATAGAGTGGCACTATTACTTCCCTCAATCTAAATACTACACTTATATTGATGCAGCCTAGGATCACATTGGCTTTTTAAGCTGCTGCATCACACTGTTAACTCATGTTCAAACTGTGGTCTCCTAGGACTCCTAGATCGGTTTCATATGTAATCTTGTTAAGCCAGTGTCCCCCATCCTATATCTACTCATTTAATTTTTTTTTCTTCCTAAGTGCAGTATCTTACATTTCTCCCTGTAGAAAATCATTTTGTTAGTTCTGGCCCAGCTTTCTAATTGATTAAGGTCTTTTTGAATGTTGATCCTCTCCTCTGAGGTGTTAGCCACTCCTCCTAAATTGTTGTCATCTGCAAATTTGATAAGCATGCCCTTGATTCTTTCATCCAAGTCATTGATAAAGGTGTAGAATATGTAATCAGTCTTTATGTACAGCCCAACTTAATGGCTCCCACACACTTGAAGATAGAAATAAGATGATAAAAAAGCAAACGTCAGACCAAAGGAAATTATTTGACTAGGACAACAGAGTTACAATTTGTTGTTGCTGTGTGCCTTCAAGTCGTGTCCAATCCATGGTGACACTAACATGGGGGTTTCTTGGCAAGGTTTTTTTCAGAGGGGGTTTGCCTTTGCCTTCCTCTGAAGCTGAGAGAGTATGACTTGCCCAAAGTTGCGCAGTAGGCTTCCATGGCCAAGCAGAGATTCAAACCTTGGTCTCCACAGCTGTAGTCCAACACTCAAACCACTACACTGGCTCTCAGGGTTACAATAATCTCTCCTATATTCTTATCAGCCCTGGCACCATGGTTGTCCTGAGCTAGCGCATGAACTGTAGTCTCAGCATGAATGATGAAGTCATCCAGAAAATGCCTTGAGATTCTCCAACACCTTTCTTGAGACTATAAGGTTTATGGCAGCTCCTCTCTTCCCAGATCTCTATGCTATATTGGTACTCTACCCAGCTGTGTATCAGGCAGGAGGTGGTGGGCCATATCTTTGACATCCAGCCTGTTGGGGATATTCATCAGATTAGCCTTCTCATCTGTAATTAAATCATGGATTATATCTATTTTATTATGGACTGACCTGACATTTAATAACTACTCGGTCAGAAGGCACAATAGCTGAGTAATCAGATTCCTGAACATCAGAGGAAGTATTCAATAATGGAGATGGTTTGCAACATTGCCCTTTGTTCCAATGACCATCCCCTTCATTATATCATAGATCAGGGGTAGGCAACCTTTCCCCTTTAAGGGCCAAGGGACTTCAGCTCCCAGAATCCCAGGAGCTATTGGCCAACATGGGACTATTGGCCAACATGGCTGAGGCTTCTGGGAGCTGATGTCCCTCGGCCCTTAAAGGGGAAAGGTTGCCTACCCCTGTCATAGATATAATGACTTTTGATGAGAATGTACAGTCATGCATTCTTAATACACAGAAGAAACTAAAACAATACAACTATCCTAGCATGGTAGTGAGAGATCCAAATAGACTTTAGGCACCAAGCATCCTCAGGCACCCCTATTAACCATTCATCAACCCACAAATTGCTCATTCAACCAGCTGCAAAGATTGTCCATAAACTAACTACAGCCAACCTAACCTGACTTCTACAGAATTCTCATTTGTGACTTCATAGATCTATAATTATGCTGTGGTTACCTAGGAAATAGTCTTTGAAGTTTTCCTTACAGAAGTACCCAGATAAAGAATGAAGGAGATATAGCTGTATTGTGCTTAAATTTGACATCTCACACATCAAACATGAACAACGGCAAGTTTGTAGCATGCCAGTCACATGCACATATACCTAGGTTTCCTTTCCATGAGTATGAATATAAATATAAACAAGGACAAACAGGATACTTTTACTTGGCACAACAAGAAGAGCTTTTAATCCTTTAAATAAGTCTTCCCAAACCTGGGTCCCTCTAGGTGTGCTTGACTATACAACTCCCATAATCCTCAACAAGCAGGGCTATCAGATATGTTGGCTTGGGATGCTAAGAGTGTGGTCCAATAGTTACAGAAAGTGCCAGCTTGGTGAATGCTGCTATAAACCAATATGCATTGGAAACCGAGTTCTGTTTTAATGGAAACAAAGAGGGATTTGGAGGGGGGATACACTTGGTGATAATTTTTCAAAATAAAGGGCCACAAGGTTTAGTAAAACTTTGAACATTTCAGCCAATTTTGTAAATAGTTATATCTCGTTTTCATGGCTATAGGGGAAATCCTGAATGTTTGCCAGTAGGATGCAGACTGATGTTTTCCAGGCTCAACCCCATGACTGACAAGTAAAAGCTGTTTCTCTGACAACCACACATTACTCAAGGCCATCAGCTTATAGTATCCTTACAGCAGGAACAAGAGCCAAAATTGCTCAACAGGAAGACAACAACACACACTTTAGCCAAGGCTGCCAGCAGGTATGAGGAAACAATTTCAGGGGCCAACTAGAAGGAAATGATTTCAGATCCCAGCTACACACATAACAACTACTCGGTCTGAGATATATCTCCACATCAGCTCGAAGACCAGACAATTCTCTTTGTTATTAAATATACATATAATTTGAGGCATTATCTCCATTTTTAATGGGTTATGAGCTCCAAGACCACACAATTCCCTTTGTTATTAAACACACCTTTTGTTGGGACAGAAAAAGAAATATATTCTGCTTAGCGCATGGGCAAACACACCTGTCTTATGAGGAAGTAACATTGGAAATCTTGCGTTAGGAGAAGTTATAGTTATATTTCATTACAAGTTGCAGTCTAATAAGTTAAGGCTCTTTTAAAGCTGAAAAACATAGTTTAATATAAAAGTCTACATGCTGAATGCAAAAGTAAAGAGACATGTTGTTGTTGTCGTGTGCCTTCAAGTAATTTCCCATTTATGGCAACCTTAAGGCAAACTTATCATCACAGGGTTTTCTTGACAAGATTTGTTCAGAGGAGGTTTACCACTGCCCTTCCTTGAGGCTGAGAGCATGTGACTTGCCCAAGTTCACCCAATGGGTTTCATGGCCAAACTGGGAATCGAACCCTAGGTCTCCAGAGTAGTAGTCTAGCACTCAAACCACTACACCAAACTGGCTTCTAAAGAGGCATACAAGCCATAATTTTAAAGGTATTAAAAACAAATACATGATTGGACTTTCATAAAGAGGGGATGATTAATGAATAAGTCCTGCCCTAACACAGCAGAAGGATGGCTAATGAATACATCAAACCTAAATAGATTCTTTATTTATAGAAAAAAATGTGTTTAATCTAGAACAATGGTACCAAATTCCTCTGTTTTGTCTCATCCATCTGATTTATAAAAGCTGTGAAATACAGAGCTTACAAAAAATGACAGATACAGTTTTGCTAATTGCTTCTAGGCAGGGAAAAGTACCGCTCCAAAAGGAAATCAGCCAAGTCCCCTTGAGCCTCCAGTTTAGCATTTTCAACTCTGAACGTCCACATAAATGGTATCCTTTCTATTAGACAACCTCAGTTCTGTTAACAGGCAGGAGTCAAAACCAAAAGCCTAATTAGTGGTGTATGCCTGTTGACTTATGGGTTTTCTTAGGCAAGGAATATACGTCCTTCCACTGAAATATAGCCTCCAACATGTGGTATTCCTTGGCATCTCCCATCCAAGTACTAACCAGGGCTGACTTTGTTTAGCTTCCAAAATCAGATGGGATCTGATGTCTTTATTAGGTTATGAGCCTCCCCCCCCCCCCCCCCATTAGTGACTGCATCATGAAATAGGAGGAGGGAATGGAAGAGGAAGAGCAATTTTTCAGTAGAGACTGGAATGATATAGACTGGGCTCCCACAGACAAAACTAGGATTAAATCTATGTCAGTTGTGGTAAAGAAAATCAAGTTATCATATGTGTTGGTGACAAACAACCCAAATTAGTTTGCATTTTCTGAATGTATGCCAGAAATCCAGGAAGGGATCGGGTTGCTCCCTTATATTCATCATCACACAGGACACCATGGTTGACAAATAAAGAATCTAATATTTCAACTAGCATTTGATACAGCCCCCCCCCCACCAATACTTAATAAATTTATTTGATATGATGATAGCACTGTAGCACGGTAGGATTTGATGTCAACTACAGATGGCATGATGTGTGTGTTTGTGTAACAGCTCCTGCTCTTGAGTAGGAGATGGATCCTTGAAGATCATCTAGCTGCCACCACCCACTGATTTATTCCATGTGACTCAATGGGAAATTACTGAGGGGCTTAAGTCGCACTTTTCCACATCTGACTCTGCAGACTTTCCCTTTTCATCCCTTGTTGGAGATGAGAATCCTATATTCATACGTGCACACATACGTTGAGCAAAGGCACCTAAAGGAAGTGTGGGAAAGAGGAGATGTTTAAAGGGAAGCCTTTATTCTAAGCAAGCCATCTTATACATGAAGGCACCTTCCTTCGGGTCTTGCTTAGGAGTAGTTATAAAATTAACTTATTTCATATTCAGCCAAAAGGAAACATAAGCCCTGAATATTCTTGTTCTATTCACAATACTCTAATCGGAATCTGGGAATCTGGACACCTTTGTTCACCCTACAACCAAGCTTCCTTAGTGAGGCAGGCAGGCTCAGTCCCGAAGTCTCAGTAGTTTCCTTTTGTCTCTCTCACTTTGCCTCACAGTACTTTGAGATGCCTGAGATATTTCTCACATACTTATAAACTCTCCCTTAGGGGTTATTCAGATGGTGAAAATAATCCAGGACGAATCTGGGTTGAACCTATATTGTTCGCATCCATCCCAAATGCACCTGATTATGGTGGGGTTTTTTGGGGGGGGGGAGGGACTGCCCAAAAACCCATTTAATCCAGGGTAATTGATACTGGGTCTTTCCCCGAATTTTTTTAAAAGATTCACAGCATTGCCAGTGTGAATAACTGATGTGAAAAGACCCAGGATTAAATTCTGCATGCCTTAAATGCATTTCAAATACATGTGCATTGTTGACTCCATGTTAATTCAAGCACTGGCACGTGTAAGCAATTAAACTCACAGAGCTGCAGAGATGCAGTTCCATAGTGTGAATAACAAACCCAGAATGCGTGAATGAGATTATTTCCACTAAAAAAAAGCAATGTCTGAATGACCTCTTAGAAGCATCTTGAAGCTTCTGCAACTCTCCCCAACCAGTCATCCCCATTGGACCTTCTGTGATCTCTGTTGCTCATCCATAATGCTGATGCCCAATAAATGCAACTTAAAACCAACACATCATTAATGCTTTGTTTACCCGGAGGGGAGATGATACCCCTCAGCTGTGTTGCTCAGATAATGGGAGGGCATATTATCACAGGGGCTGGGTGGGTTGGTGGGAGAGGAATAACTGAGCTGAGGATTGTCCTGGGGCTGTTTTAGGGAGGGGGTAGAGGTGAAATGAAATTCATAGGGTCCCCAAAAGTTGAGAGTCACTTAAAGGCACATATACACATACAGAGAAATGAACAGTTGCTTAAAGAAAAACCTAGGTGCAATTCTGTACTCATTTGTAGGGGAGTAAGCTTCACTTAATTTAATGCGACTTACTTCTAAGTAGAAGTAAGGGAGTGCAAATGTTTAAACACTGGACATATTACTTTGAATTCTGCTTTCATCTTCCCCTTCTTCATTGAGTGGCCAGGTTAAAAAAATGATGAATAGCTATAAGATTGCCCCTTGTTAGACAAGGAAACTATGTGATTATTCAGGATTGTCCATAATTTTGTTCTGTAATACATTTTTTCTCATGTACTTAACACAAGCACAGATGCCCACAGAACAGGTCAAACAAATGAGCAGTAAACGTTGTGCTAAACAAACCTAGTAGGGGGGAAATCTTTCACACTTTCAGTGGACATTACTGCATGGTTTTTTAAATAATTTTTTTCTATTTATACAAGAACTTATATCCTATATGCAGACTAAGGTAATTACTTTAATTCCCCCCCAACTCTCAAAATGCCAACAAGGCTCTAGATGGCTTCTTTTTTAAAAAAATGTGTGTGCTAAACTGAAGAAAATATTGCCCTTTCTTCTTTGCATATTATTATTATTATCATTATTATTATTACTATCATCATCATCATCATCTGCAAAATAACTAGAATGCAGATACCAATCAGACAACCTCAGTTCAACTCTAGTCCTTGAAAGGAGAGCCAGACTCTATGGCAGGGGTAGGCAACCTTTCCCCTTTAAGGGCCGAAGGACTTCAGCTCCCAGAATCCCAGGAGCTATTGGCCAACATGGGACTATTGGCCAACATGGCTGAGGCTTCTGGGAGCTGAATTCCTTCGGCCCTTAAAGGGGAAAGGTTGCCTACCCCTGCTCTATGGAAACCCTTTCAACAATGCCTTGTTCTGAGTAAGGATACTCAAACAAGGCATTTTGGGGCCAGGCATGGCTTTCTTAAGATCATGTTGATGTCTCTCTTTGTGGGAACCTCAGAGAGAGGAACTGGGTAGCTTGCTGATGCCTTGCTTTGAGGGCCCTGCAGAACATGGCATGGGGTTCACCAATCTGGCCTTTAGAGAGCCTGGTGATGGCAGCTCTATGTCTTCTTCTTTCCTCAGAACAAGCCATCAGATGGGAGCTGTGTCTGTCAAAGCCAAAAAATAGCTGGTGGGATTCTCTGGGCCAATGACAGGGGATCTTTCTGGTACAGCATATGTGGTTGTCCACCCACTGTTCCACTGCCTGATGTGAGGATTCCCAATTTCTGTCTAAACTCCAGCCTGACTAGCTGACTGTTTCAGCATGGCACTGAAGTAGAAAAAGTAGAAAAACACAACAGACTAGTTATAATGACCATGGGTGCAATACAGTACATTGTTGATGACTTATGTCTTATCTTTCTTAATAATCCTTTCCTTGAATACTTAAGAAACAAAACAAAAAAAAAGTATGGAAAGTCAAAGTTTCAGGACCAAATTTCAAACTCCCATGTGTTTCACACTAGACTGCGCTGTCTCTGTCACATGAAAGGAACAAAGCTGAAGCTGTTTACTAGGTCCTAAAACCTTGATTCTAATGCTCAGTTAACTGTGCAGAAAATATCATATACAGATTAGGTTTAAACATGGAGGAAGGAGAAGTGAGGATCAGAGGAAGGAATATCAACAATTTAAGATATGCAGATGATACCATAATAC